ACCTCGGCCTCCCAAAGCACAGGATTACAGGCTGAGCCACTGAGCCCGGCCTATTTTTGTCTTTTTAAGAACAGCTATTCTAAGTATGGTAAAATGATATCTCATTGTGGCTCTGATTTGCATTTCACTATATTAATAATTAGTGATGTTGAGGATTTTTTCATATAACAGTGGCCCTTCATGTGTCTTCTTTTGAAAAATATTTGTGTCCTTTACCCATTTTTTAATGGTATTATTTGTTTGCTGTTGTTTAATTTATTGTCTATTCTGAATATTAGTCCTTTGTCCTATAAGTAGTTTCAGATATTTTCTCCCATTCAACAAGTTGTCTCTTCACTCTGTTGACTATTTCCTTTGCTGGTCAGAAGGTTTTAGTTTAATATGGTCCCATTTTTTTTTTTTTGATACCTATGCTTTTGAGGTCTTTGCCTAGACCAGTGTCCTATAATATTTCCCATATGTTTTCTTCTAGTTTTATAATTTCTTCAGGTCTTATGTTTAAGTCTTTAATGCATTTTTAGTTGATTTTTGTATATGGTGATATGGATCAAGTTTCATTTTTCTGCAAATGGATATTTAGTTTTCCAGCACCATTTATTGAAGAGGATTTTCCCCCCATTGTAACTTCTTGGCACATTTGTTGAAAATCTGTTGGCTGTAAATATATTGATTTTTTTTCTATTTTCTGTAGTGAGGGAGGATATGTTAGTTTTATAATTTAATTTTTAAAAATTAGTCAGACTCTTTTTTCCCCTCAAAGTTGGCAACATCATTTAGATTTCTATGTTGTAGTCAGGATGAGATGATAAAAAACACAATTTCAATTTAACTCATTTTCCTACTGACTCTTTTAAAAAAAATTTTCTGTTGACAAATAATCATTGTATATACTCATGAGGTACATAGTTTTTTTTGATACATATATTGTATAGTGATCAACTCAAGGTAATTAGCATATGTCATCTCAAACACTTATCACTTCTTTATGTTGGGAATGCTCAATTAACTAGTTCATTTCTTATAATCTTATTTGTACTTTAATGTAAGTCTTTCCTGTGAAAAAATATATACCAGAAACACTCCCTTACCCATCTAGCTTTTCTAGTTTTTTTTTTTTGGACTTTCACTCTGTCCCCCAGACTGGAGTACAGTGGCATGCTCCCGTCCACCGCAGCCTCACCCTGCTGGGCTCCAGCGATCCTTCTTCCTCAGCCTTCCAAGTAGCCGGAACTACAGGTGCATGCTACCACACCCGGCTAATTTTTTATTACTCGCCAAGTTGCGCGGGTAGGTCTTGAACCCGCAGACTCAGGCAATCCACTCACCTCGGCCTCCCAAAGTGCCGGGATTACAGGCTGAGCCACTGAGCCCAGCCTGTACTAGTTTTTATAACATGTAGTATATCATTGAAGATTCCATTTTATTGATTACATAATTGTATATGTGCTATGATTTTATTAAGTTGCATTGGTAAATATGATTTATGTGCTTCTCTTTAGAGCCTGGCCACACTTCTGATTACCTCCCAGATCCTTAACCAGGTTGTGGAATCTCTTCTTCCTTATTGGCTCCAAAGAAAGCATGATGTGCAGGTGAAGAGGAAGATGCAGGCCATAAAGGCAGATATCGATGCTACATTATATGAACAAGTCACCCTGGAAAAAAAAATGGGAACTTATTTGGTAAGTTGGAATATTGCTGAATTAAACATTTATTAAAAGTTCATAATGGCCATTCACTGAGTTCAACAAGTCTTATATGCTCCTTCTCTTAGACATGCCTATTTTATAAGTGCTTTCCAGCCAGTTTTCTCACCATGAGCCACTTTAAAGTTAAAAAGATGAAACTGTGCATTGAAGCACTACCATCTTGAATTGAAAGTTTTGCCAGTAATACCAAAGGGTGAGTTTGGAGAATTATGTGACTGCTCTGTGGAAGGGGCGGTAGAAATAGTTGCTCCAGAGATGGCAGAGCAGGAGAGATGTTTCCTGGAGAAGCGGCAACATTGCTCACTCCTGACACTTCAAACTCATAGAAAATGATTGCTCAACTGAAAGATTGAAACCCATTGCTGAGAAATGGAAAGCTAATCTGAAGATTAATTTTTAGTTTGAATTAGTGCTATTGTATAAATATAAAACAGTTCTTTTAAGCAGAGAATTTTGAGTTATTTTTGGTAACTACAGGGAGATTATTAGTGCTTTGGTACTTGTAATATTGGAAAGATCTAGCTCCTAAAACCTAATCATGTGTTCAACTAACTTCTGTTGAACTTTGGCTTCATATGCTATCTCTGTATTTTGGGGGGAAGGGGTGGTGTTGGGATCACATTTGTATCACTATGGGTTAAAAGCTTAGTCTAATTCACATTATGTCAGGATCCTTTCCTTGCCTGTGCTAGGGGGTGACATTTTTGACCAAGTTTATTTTCTTCCTTCGCTCTCTTATAGAAATGATACCAGCAGTCATTCCGTCCCCCTTCATCTTTGGAGGCTTCATGTCACTGGCCTCTTTTCTGCCCGTTATGGTCTTCTGTAATAATTCTCCATATTGCTACCTCTGGTTTCCCACTTCTCATCCTATAGTCAGTTAGAATCTGCTTTAAGTTCTTTTCTCTGAAATTGTCTGGGCAAATATCATCATCCCCTGAAGTATCCGAAACCAAATTCACAATTTTCTCCAGACAGGTTTTTGTGCTTTGCCCCAGCTCAGTGAATGGCATACAGTGTACCCCTTGTCTAAGCAATTCTAATTCACCTAAGAGTTGTGTGCCAATGAGGTGACACTGCCAAAATCTTAGCACCTCACCATATCTGACAGCCTTAATGAAGAAAGGTGAGGGAGGCATGGCTTTTCCCATGTCAAAAAGAGGTGACTAAAGTCTTGTAAACTAGAGATTTGTTGGGAAAAAAAAAATCAAAACTCTATGTCATTAATCATCTGACGACTAAGGAGAAAGGTTTAGGACTTTGCCTTTGCAGTTCAGAATCTTCCTATTATACAGCACAGACCTTTTGTTGTGAAATAAAGGAAATAGTATACTAATTTATCTCACAGGCCCTGGGTCTGAGAGTGAGCTCCTGGGTTGACAGGGCCACTCCTTTATAGGCCTTCAGGGTTCTGCATGATCTGGTTGGTTTTCCCTCCTTGTCTCTTACAAGTTTCTTTTTTACTTTCCACTGGAGTTACATTAAATATTTGGAGAGGGGAGATGCTTTTGGGTCACATTTGTTCTAGATGATTGTTTCCTATGCACTAATCCTTTCTTCTGGGTGCATTTTTCTCCTCACTAAAGTCAATTAATTTAGAATTGTATCTTCTGTAATCTCATTCTGACTGTTAGATATTAGTCTAAAATAATGTTGCCAAGCTTTGGGAAAAAGCAGTTTGTGTAAAACTTAAGAAGGATTATTATAAAAGTAACACTTGCTTATTCACTGCAGAAAACTTAGAAAATACAAGACAGGGTCAATAAGGAAAAATAAATTTTCTGTAATGTTCCCACCAAGGGTAATCTTCTGGGATCGCTTGACCCTTGCTCTGCTAGCCCAGGGCTAAGCCTGTGTTACTTCTTGGATCTTCACTGTCCATTGCAGTTTCTCTTTCTGTGAACTGCAGTTTTATCCAACTACACGGCTGCTTGAGGCTGAATTTTCATAGTGAAGACCCCAAGTAGAATAACATATTGCACAGTAAGTGAGCTGTCTTCTACTAAACTACACGTTACAGAGGTTGACCAAAAATGTAAATGAGTGCTATTCTTTGCACTAACGTTTTTTGTTTTGGAAAATATAATTATTATTCAAAAGGTATTTCATTTATGCTAATATGTTATTATTATTATTATTTATTGTTATTATTTTTTGAGTTGGAGTCTCACTCTGTTGCCCACACTGGAGTGCAGTGGCCGCTCC